TTTGTGAGACGCAGAACAAATGAAAATATGCTGGAAGAATGCCTGACGCCATCTGTTAAGCATGGTGGAGGTAATGTGATGGTCTGGGGTTGCTTTGGTGCTGGTAAGGTGGGAGATTTGTACAGGGTAAAAGGGATTCTGAATAAGGAAGGCTATCACTCCATTTTGCAACGCCATGCCATACCCAGTGGACAGCGCTTGATTGGAGCCAATTTCATCCTACAACAAGACAAGGACCCTAAACACACCTCCAAATTGTGCAGAACTATTTAGAGCAGAAGCAGGCAGCTGGTATTCTATGGGTAATGGAGTGGCCAGGGCAGTCACCAGATCTGAACCCCATTGAGCTGTTGTGGGAGCAGCTTGACCGTATGGAACGCAGGAAGTGCCCATCCAACCAATCCAACTAGTGGGAGCTGCTTCTGGAAGCGTGGGGGGCAGTTTCTCCACATTACCTCAACAAATAAACAGCTAGAAAGCCAAAGGTCTGCAATGCTGGAATTGCTGCAAATGGAGGATTCTTTGACGAAAGCTTGATGTTTGATGTAAAAAAAGATCTTATTTCAAATACAAATCATTATTTCTATCTTTGTCAATGTCTTGACTCTAGTTTCTATTCATTTCACAACGTATGGTGGTGAATAAGTGTGACTTTTCAGGAAAACACAAAATTGTTTGGGTGACCCCAAACTTTTGAACGGTAGTGTATATTGGAGTAAACTGAGAAATCTAAGTGATTTTAATGTAAATAATTAATATCCTGCATGTAATGAAAGAGCCATGGCAGAGCAGTAAGTTCTTGCATAATATGTATGAGGAAGTTGTTTTCAAAGACACTAACTCTTTGTTAGAAGAAAATTAAATAATATTTGCTCAAAGGTTTAAGCTAAAACCAGAATTAAATTATATCTGAAGCTGATGCAATTCTTGGACCAGTGGTTTAAGGCTGTTGATTAATTTTACTGTTTTCTGCACATATTTTTTAAACTTGTTTAGTGCATTTCGCTAATGCACCGTTTCTGAGATGTGTGCCAAAAACCTAACAAGCAAAGCAAAAAACAGCATTTTTTAGGAGAATATTCCAATTAAACTAAAGCTTTAAAATCAACTAATTTCAAGGAAACCTTTGAATCAGTTTTCATGAAATTAGTTTTCTTTTTCATGTGCCAAAATTACTTCCATATATGTAAAATATTCTAGTGAATGAAATGTTTTTCTTTGCAGTTTAAGTACTGCTGCTTTTCTTACCTGATTTTTCCTAATCTTTCACTTTGCACACACCTGGCTCCTCTGCTCCCCCTCTACACCTCTCCCTCTTTAGACTAGCAATCATAAAATGGATTATAAATTCAAATAAGTAGAAACTGAAAAAAATATAATGATTTACTAATGATTGAGTACATTAAAATATTGATATTAAGTTGTGGTTTTAAAGATAATCAAACAAAGCATTCTCAGACACATTAGAGGATCACACTAGTGAACATTTCACCAACACACCATCAATAGGTGCAGAAATCGGACTGAACATTTCAGAAACACCTGAATGCAGTGTTTTCCTCAAAGCGTTGGTCAACATTTAAGTTACATGTAGGGGCTCTGGAAACAATTTGAGGACTTGCCAGCAATTCTTACAGCGACTTTCTCTTTCACTATTGCAGCCAGTTTTTATTCTAAAAGAAACCTGTGCACAACATTTAATTAAAAACACCTTATGATAATAATAACACATAATATTTTATTATTAGTATTATCATTTCGATTTGGAACTCTGTACTAATATAAAAGACAATAAGTAAATTAGGAAAATTAAGATTAATCTCTAATACATTTTTCAACATATTTAATTGCTTTTCAAATACCATGGTTTTTTGCATATTTTAAGAGATTCTACTTACCTGACATCAAAGCTGCTCTTTGTATATTTTTATTTTTGCTTTCGTTTTTCATTCCACTTTAATGTAGACTACAGTGACTCCACCCTGGATAAGGAGGGTGGGGTTAGGGAAGGATTTGGCATTAAAAAACAAACAGGTCTGGTCCTGACTTTCACAGAGAGTGAAAGTATTCTTTTACATTGTGCTCTCATTATGGGTTGTTTTATGTACATACTTGATACTTGATGTTGAGATGGGGGTGAAGTAGAAGTTGAGCACCCACACTACAGAAACCTTATCAGAAGAGCCAGCATCATATGAACAGGCAACGACTGACTTTATTAGCAAAGAAAACAACGGGAATAACAGCACTGAGTCATTCTAAGGACTTGAAACGAGAAAAAGGTGTGCCTGAGCCTGGCACACCTGGAGGAGAAGAACACCCAGGTGCGGATGCTGTTCCTGGACTTCAGTTCAGCTTTCAACACCATCATCCCACAGCATCTGATGGGCAAACTGGAACAGCTGGGCTTCAATACACCCCTCTGCTATTGGCTGCCAGACTTCCTCACCAACAGACCTCAGTCAGTCCGGGTCGGACAGAACACCTCTGATATCATCAGTCTAAGCCCCTCCCCTCATGGCTGCGTCCTGAGCCCCCTGCCGTTCACCCTGATGACACACGACTGCGTCCCCAGGTTCACCACCGATCACATGGTGAAGTTTGCAGACGACACCACGGCGGTGGGCCTCATCAGAGACGACAACGACCTGGACTACAGAGAGGAGGTGGAGCAGCTGGTGGAGCAGAGATAACAGCCTGATCCTGAAGGTGGAGAAGACCAAGGAGATCATGGTGGACTTCAGGAAGAAGCGGCCTAACCACGCTCCACTGCTCATCAACAGCTCAGCTGTAGAGGTGGTCAGCAGCAGCATATTTCCTGGGGGTGCACATCACAGACACCCTCACCTGGACTGGACCAGCACCATAGAGAGGGTTCTGACCAGCTGTCTCACTGTGTGGTGTGGAGGCTGCAGCGCCTCAGACTGGAAGAAGGTGAGAAGAGTGGTGAGAACAGCAGATGCTTTCCCTCCTCTCCCATGAACATGCACAATGTTGTTTTCATTGCCACTTATCGCCAGAGGGGGTAAAACTTCTACTAAAACTCTTAAAGGTGCACTGTGCTCCTTTATACAGCTGATCTACATTAAGCATGCCACAACAACTACAGAGCTCTTCAGTCATCCATTCAGGTTTGCCTAAAGCTATTAATATCTACAAGAACTCATTGAAAAGTATATTGTTATGGCAGCATTTCATTTTCCTATAGGTTCAATAAAGTAATTTTCTATTGAGAATAAAAGGTAGAGCATAGGTAAAATATTCAGTATTGGTTTTACCTTATTGTATGATTATTGCTGAAGAAACCTGAAATACCATGATACCCTGAAGCTAGTAAAGCTGCCTGTTGTTTGTGATCAGACCAGTGGTTTAAAGTTACAAAGTACAGTTACCTCATTACGGTACTCAAGTGCTTTTTATATCTTGAGTATTTTTTCTTTTTTTACTTATAATTTATAACTTTCTACCCTACTCCATTTCCAGGAAACTGCTGGTTCCTTGTTCCTCTTGGCTCAGATTAGCTTTATAATCCACTGTTGCTGTTTTTCTTGAAATATAATTCCATCATGGCAGATACCAGCTCTTAGGACTGAATCTGGATGCCACTGATTTAAAGTGGCCTAAAGGTGCCTATTTACGGCAGTCTATGGTTGAGAGGCGGGTCCACCCTGGACAGGTCTCCAGTCTGTCACAGGGAAACACAGAGACACACAAAGGCACACAACCACTAACACACTCACTACTAAGGACAGTTTAGAGAATCCAATGAACCTAACAGTCCTGTTTTTGTAATGTGGGAGGAAGCCGTAGGGAGCCCTGGGCCGGGACTTGAACCCAGAGCCTTCTCGCTGCAAGGCAGCACGGTTCCACTGTTCCAGCCCAGAGTTGTTCTACGAGTCACTAAATCAGGTGGTTTCTGAAAGTTACAAGGTATTTTAAAATTTCTCTGAAAATTACACAGAAGTGTTGTGATATTAGAAAATTAAATTTGTATTTTTGCACACTTAAGTACTTTTAAATGCATTTACTTTTGAATACTTCAATATTTCAAACATGAGAACATTTTAATATTTCAACTTGAGTAGATGTTTTTCTGAGTAACTTTTACTTGTATTTGAGTAAACTTTGATTCTGAGTATCAATACTTTCACTCAAGTAACACTCTTGAGTACTCCGTCCACCACTGGCTAGGAAACAAATACCACTTTTCCGTAGATGCTGATTATAAAAGTCAATTTTTTGTTTTCTTATTTTGCTTTAATATTTTCTCTTTATTCATACACCAGGACACCAAGAAAACTCACAATTCCTTCAGGAAACAACGATTTTGCATTTTTTTGTAGATGAGTTGAAAAAGCCTTGTCTGGTAAACGTCCCTAAAATGACATGCAATGGTTATAAAGACCCTTATTAACCTCTACTATACAAAATACAGTCTAGAGCCCCTGTCACACCTTGACGTTTTAGACCATCACATGTCTGACGTACGAAAAATCTGGCAAAAAACCTTACCATAACCTTGGATACATTATGGGTGCGTTTTGTTTAAGTTATGAGCACGCTGAATCACTCTGGCACACATCGACATACATCGACGTACCTTGAGAAATTTAGTGTGTATGCCAGCGTATGCCATACGTCGCCCATAAGTGTAAGTTACTAATAAGTCATGGCGTCTAGCTTAATAGTAACGTGTGCATAACTTATAGGTAACTTATCAAGAACTTCTCTCCAATGCGGATCCTTCATGCGTTTGGATTTTTTTATAAACCTTTATTTTTACAGGCAAGTCATTAAGAACAAGTTCCTAGGACTAAAGCAAATGCAATACATTAGTAATACATACATAAAATACAAACACAAGAGCTAAAAACAAACACAAGAGCTAATACGACCATGACCAACAAACTTCCTTGCAGACATGATGCTGAATCTGCTTCAACTGAAAAATCTCTTTCTTTTTTATTTTTATTTATTCTTGTTTCTTTTGGCGAGTGGTAAACAGCAGCTAGGTTAATACTGCGATTAAAGAAATCTTTTTATGCAGACCAGGAACCTCCGGGCACATCGCTGCCCCCCTCAGGACACTGGCTTTTGCATCATTTCATGGGCATTACGCTGCCGTACGTTATGCATACCTTAGGCTGTGGTTGGACAGAAGTACTAAAGTCGTTATGAATACTCTATGTATACGACCAGAATTTTAAAAAATACATAGAAAGTCCAGCGTACGTCAGGGTTTTAGGAGATTCTGGGACGTCGGTCATATGTGGATAAATCGTCAAGGTGTAACAGGGTCCTTACATAAAAACTTGTCTTGAAGTCAGCAGCGTTGCTCTCAGTTACAGAAACTCTAGAGAAACCAGTCAAACAAGAAATTCAGTGTTTTTCAGCCAAACACAAACATAAACCTTTCTGAGAAATATGGCAGATATGTAGGTCGACATGGTTGTTTAAACAGACCAGCAACAAGAATTTTCTAAAAGGGTTTGAAAACATCTTTTCCTTTTTTAGTTCTAATGAAAGTTTGCTTTGACTTTACAGCAGCTCATCTCACTATATTAAAATATAATTCAAACTTTTACAATCTCCATTACATTCTACATTGAGATTAAAAGAACCAGAGAATCTTCTGCATTTAAAGCTGTCTTACATTTTGAAAGTCAGGTGGAATAAAAGCGTTTATGCATAAATGGTTGCAAAGCAGCATTGTCGTCGTCTTATGGTTGCATCACGTCTCAGGAAATGCTGCACGCTCGCCTCTCTGAGGCTTTCTTCACCCGCTCCTGTATCCACTCGTTTATTTCGTCCTGATGCCTTTTCTGCAGCTCAGTCATTCGGTTTTTGATCTGCAGCTCACTGTTGAAACAAAGCGATGATTTCAGAGCCTTAACTTCCTCCTCCTGCTTTTTCTGCAGCTTTTCGAAGTTTTTCTGGTGAACTTTGTTTGTATTCAGCTGCTTGATCAAAAGTTCAGTTTGTTTTTCATGCTTCAGCTTCAGGTCCATTAATTCTTTCCCGTATTTCTCCAGCTCAGTCGAGACATCAGAGGTATATTTGTGCCTGAAATCGTTGCATTGTTCCGCTTGTTTTCTGGCGTCCTCATAATTTCTCCTCTCTATCTCCTCTACCTGCTTTCGGAACATTTCCTGGGCTACCTTCCAGTCTCTCTTCTCTTGTTCCCTCCGAAGTTGTTCCTCCTCTCGCCTTTTTAATTCGTATCTAAGCTTTTCCTCTTCATGTTCTTCTCTGAGCTTTTGGAGGCGTTGCTGCTCACTTTCTTGCCTTTGCTTTTCGTCTCGATATCTCTTCTCCCACCATTCTGTCCTTTCCTTCTCCCAAGCTTCTCTTTCCTTTCTCATTTCTTCTCTGCTTTGCCGTAATAATGCTGTCTCTGGTAACGTTGCTCCAACCGGTCCCTGATTTACCTGCAAACATTCAACTTTTTGATCCCACTCATATTGTTTCATCTCATCTTTCCTTTTCTTTTCCATCTCCTCTTCTTTTCTTCGTTTCCTTTCCATCATCACCTTCTCTTCCTCCCTCAGTATTTTCTCCTCTTTCTCCTTGACTCTCTGGGCGCTCTGTTGGGTTTCTTGTTGAAATCTGGCTTGCCTTTTTTTAAATGTTTCACTCCTATTTAGCATTTTGTATTCAAGCTCTTTTTTAAAGTCTTCCTTCTTTTTCTGCAGTTCCTTGTCCTTCTCTATCAGTAGTTTCTCTGTTTCCCTCTGTATTGCTTCCTCTGCCTCTGTAAAGATGGCTGAGGTGTAGTAATCACCACCATTTTGCTGTAGCATCGTCTCAACTCTGTCTAGGAGCTCTCGAACCTGAGATCGATTGGTTTGGTCATTGTTGTTAAAGACTTGGTACCTCCCTCCACAATCGCTAATCAGCTGTTTGACATATTCATCGCTTTCGTTTAAGTAACTATCAAATGTTTGATTTTTAAGATCGTCCCCTCTGGTGAACACGACAATGATGAAGTCCTTGGACTTCTCAAAGAATTCCTCGATCAGCTTCAAAGTGTCTTTTTCTTCTTGAGTAAAGCGTCCGATCTGCAGGACGAGCAGGAAGACGTGGGGTCCGGGGGCCAACATGCTGATGCATTTGATTAGCTCTTGCTTAACTTGGTCATTTGACAGACAGGTGTCAAATAACCCTGGCGTGTCCACCACGGTTACAAGACGGCCTTCAGCCTCTCCCGTCTCTTTTTGGCAAATCTTCGTCACCGATCTTTGACTGACTTTTGATGAGAAGCACTCTCTGCCAAGGATAGTGTTTCCAGTGGCACTTTTACCACAACCCGTCTTACCGATCAGCAGTATCCGTAGGGGCTCTTCACTCTCTGGCATTGGCAGGGGAGTTGGGTCTTGCTTCTGAGGTCTATAGTCCTGCAGAGGACTCTCCCTAAACATTGCACTCCCTGTCCTGTGTAGACTCAATTTCACATTTGGACGGTCGCGACAACTAAACGTGTTACTCTTTTTAAGCTTTTGCGGCTTGGGGAACATTTTTTTGGTAAAACTTTTCTGTCCTACGTTTGTCATTACTTGGACAAATTGCAACACCTCATGGATCTGCTGCTCTTCCTGGGTGTTGAAGACCATAAACTGTTTGTTACATTTCTGACAGATTTCTTGAATATCTCTGTTTTCCTTTAGAAAATTCAGAAGTTTAGAGGAATTGAAAATTGCCTCTACAGCAAAAAGAATCATGGTAAATTCAGTGATTCTAGAATCAAAGATTTTCTCAATGGTTTCCAGCTCTTTTTTATCGTCATCATCAGGGCAGTCCAATGGTAGGACCAGAATGAAGGCGTGGACACCCTCTGGCTCACAGAGGGAAAGACTTCTATAGGATTCCTTCATTGCTGTGTCCATTGGTGTTTTATACAGAGCTGGTAGCTCCACTATGGACACCTGGCGCCCGAAGACAGAGCCCTGATTTCTAACATCCACTGAATCGCCAAACGCACCGCAATAACTGTCCCTCAGGATGGCACGAGCTACGGAAGCTTTCCGGGATGTATGTCTTCCACAAAGGACCAGGTTCAGATGGGGCTTCACAGATTTTGGCTCACTTATTAGTTCCATGTCTTCAGGAAATGTTAAATATCGCCCCTTGTTCTCTCTCACGATATTTTCAATCCTTTTCATCAGTTCTTGTAGTTTATTAACAGAGTATTGTCTTTGGTGGAAGTTCATTTTGTGGATCCTTTGTCCACAGTCTGCGACGAGTTGGTTTATGGTAAAACACGATCCCTGATCGTCTTCGGATGTTATGACAATCGCACAATTAAAAGCTTCTGTCCCGAAAAAACTCAGGACAAACTTCAGATTTTGCCTGTCCGACTTGGTGAAGTCTGACGGGTTCGCGAGCAGCAGCAGGACGTTCGGTCCTGGTGGGCAGAGAGCCACGCACGCCTTCATGTCATGACTGACACTTTCCACAGGCAGACCGAGGATATCTCCCGTTTTAATCAGGGTGAAGGGTTTTCTCCTCCATTCTCCATACAACACGTCAAAAGACTTCACTTTTTGTGAAGAATAAGGCGTTCCGTCTGTCAAGAAATTACTGAGGGTTGTTTTATCATCTTCGTTTTTACCAAGAATCACAATCCTCAGATCGGTTACTGAAAAGAGAAATAAAAATAATTAACTGAGTTAGGTTTTTCAAACAGTTGCAGTGTTTCTTCAACATGCTGTAGTATAATTACTAAAAGCATTGTCCTATTGACCTATTGTGCCATCGCAGATACGATTATGGAATCATTGCATTAGCATTTCAATAGCCCGGTGTAATATAACATTGAGCTGGAGTTGCCTAGTGGTTACAGTATGGTGCTTGCTATAAGTCCGATGGTTAGAATCCCACCTGCTACCAGTCTTGGTCCCTGGGAAAGCCCCTTACTGGCAGAATGCTCCCCAGGCGCTACACTGGGGCACCCCATTGCTCTCTTATCCCCTTTCCCCCTGAAAAATCCATTCATCCCATGAATAATCTAGCCTCTTGAGACCATCCTGATCTCGCAAGCTTTCAAGGTTTCACTCGTAGATCCGTCTGGAGACTCTCCATTAAAGAAAATTTGGAGCCGTTCACCAAGCGAACGTCCAATCAGCTTTGACTTTGAGGCAGGTTGAGGTGTGACGCAACGAGAAGCGCGACAGTTCAGTCTAAAGAACATGGCGGCTTCAGCCGATGAAACTAGCGTTAGCGTGGCTATCGAGCAAGTTTTATCGGAATTACAGAGTATTTCTTCACTGAAAGAAGAGCAAAACACTGCTCTGGAGGCTTTTCTCAGAGGAAAAGATGTTTTTGCTCTTCTCCCGACTGGTTTCGGCAAGAGTAGCCTGGCTTGTGGTTGTGTTTTCGTCGCTGCTCTGTTAGTACGTCATATGCTTCGTTGATCTGATTGGTTTATTTGGCCCGTCTATCACCAACATAGGCCAATCAGCTAACCAGTATTTTCGCCCCTTCCCAAAATTACTTCAACGGAAGGTTTCCAGATGGATATGCGGAGCAAATCCATCTAGTGGAGTCAGGTTATGAATAATCAGCTTTTAGTGGCATTATGAACAGCTCACTGATGTGAGTCCACCCGGGTCAAAATGACTCAGCGGGGACCCGCTTTAAAATTGCCTCGGCTCTGATCAGCATGCTGTGGGAACCCCAGCGCCTGGTTGACCCGATAAATTACCTGACACCATTGAACACAACATACAGACGTCGACACACCTTGGCAGTCGCTTCTGATCTAACAAGTAGAACCAACTCTGTTTACATTCGATAAACATGGAGCAGCTCTGGTGAGACGGATTCAGACAGATAATAGAGAGAAACAATAAAGTACACTGACTACACCCTGGCTTCCGTCCATGTTGCTCTCCATTGTTTACTCTCCTGATTTCTGTTGCACTGGTGACATCATCAACGCTAACCCAGCGTGATGATGTCACAGACAGAGGCCAGAGAGCTGCCAGAGAGGGAGAAGGGAGCCAGATGCCGATTGATATTGGCTTGACCCATGTTTAAAAAAAAAACTCTATTGTCAGTGGGAAAGACGATTCTGAGTAACAGGCCAGTTGAAATTGCAAATGTTTTGAACAGTTCCAAGTTTGTTACCTTCAAAGATTTCGCTTCCCTTTAAATCCACGACTGCTTATGATATAATTCATGTTTTGCATTCAGTGCATTTAGTTTGATAATCTTTAGTGTAAAATATTCTTGTAGTTTTTTAACTCACCCGACGATGTCGCCATGTTTCAGCAGGGGGAAACGTCAAAGTCGATTCTATTGGAAGATGCTGCTAAACCTGAAACTACACAATATAATAATAATAATTACATGGGTTAAAAAAGATGATTTAATTACTTGATGTTTAACTCCAATACAGAAATATTGTATAATTTTTCTTGTTAAACGATAAATTTGATCAGAATCTCATCAAGACTGTCTAAAAAGCCGAACCAATACTAAAAACATCTGATATGTTCTGTTTTATGCTGTCATGCAAGGACTAGTTCATCCTACCAATTAACCACAATTAACAGAACACATGTAACTTAATGTTGTATTATGTTTATTGAAGAAAGAAAATTGGAATGTATTTTTCCACATTTAAATTCTCATTCTCATTCATTAGGAGTTTTATACTAACAACTTTCTGTCAAAACTGCTGTTTATAGCTGAGATCTGTGTGTTTTCACCTCAGTTTTTCTCGGTCTAATGTTGTTGCTTTCTGGTTTAACCTGATCTCTAAACTGATTAAATAAATCACACATCAGTGCGGTTCAGGATTCAGATTTTTCTATGTTCCCGATTTATTATCTGTACAATAAGATAAAGAAATATAATTTTATTAAACTTACCAACATGCCTCTTAGTCTGCCATTGTCTCCAAACGCTTAGTTGAGCTTCCAACTCAGAAATGTGCTCATTTCCTTTCCAGCACATCTCAAGCTCGTTGTCAGAGCAAAGTGAAAGTGTCACACATGAAAGCCTTTATGGTTGGCTTTGGTCCAAATATGCAGACAAGTATGACAACAATGGAAACTCCGTTTCGGGCTGATTTTCAAAACCTTTGATCTCTTTTAGGACCCAATAGTGACATTTCTTACATTGTGCAAACCATTTTCCATAAATCATAGCACATCGTGGGGACTGACTGCTCTGATGGGGGCCAATGGCTGGTTGCCATGGGTACAAATGTTTGTTTAGGGTTTGGTTTTAGGTTTAGGACTAAGATGTGAATGGAGTTTAGACTGGGTTTAGGTTTAGGTTTAATCCCATATTGGTTAGGGTTAGGGTCATGGTTAGGCTGTAGAAATGGGTTAGAAATTAATGGTCAATCAAAAGTCCTCAGAGGGATAGCTAAACATGTTTTGGGTGTGTGTGTGTTTGGCCATGTTTTTGCAACCTTTTGGTGACAATTTCCCAGCATTATGCTACATTTTGGGGACTTATTAGTACTTGTGGGGACCACCTCCTGGTCCCCATGAGAAAAATTAGGTTTTTGCTGTTTAGTAATAAGTTGTGAATTGAGTTTAGGTCGGGTCTAGGTAAGTTAGGTTAGGTATGGGATGGTAATGGCTGGGCTTAGGGTAAGAGTTAGGCCAATGAAAGTAAAGAGAAATTAATGGAAGTCAATTGAAACTCCCCACAAGGATAGCGTGACACACACACGCACACACACACACAATGTATGTGATCATGCTGCTAAATTCGGACATTTTTTTGCATTATTAAGTTAAGCCTTCATTATTTTCCTTCATCTGATGGTTCCCTCTCATCTCATCGTATCTTTTCTTAAGTTTAACTGTAGCTCAGCAGAAAGTCCCTCTTCTCTGTGCCTCATTATAACCCTGATGAGGCTTATTAGACTAAACCTCCTCCTCTTGTCTTGCAGGGTGAGTAGTTAACAAGCTGTTATTTAATAAACTGCTAACTTCAGCCTGGGTTAATCCGGTTCCACCTGCTCCTTTGTGCTTTCTGACGCTGCAGACTCCATGGCTGCTCTGACATGAGCTCTGTCCCCGTTCCTCTTCCCTGAGGCGCTTAGTTTCACATTTTCCTGCCGTTGTTTTGATTTTACATTTTTATTATGTAATTTCAAACATACATCGATATTTTTAAGTCCCTTAAGGGGTTAGGCAACGAGATGAGCTTTACTACCGTCGGGTAGGGGGCTCAGGCAGACGCATACCTGAGTTTTCAATGGACAGAACATTTTTAACCAATCAGGATGATTGATTTATCTCTGTGCCTTTAGGGGACATGAGCTGTGAATTTATCCATTTAAATAAAGTGAACTGTAAGGATTTTTACACATCTTCACCACAGATGCCGGTAAGTTTGACCGGTGCTGTGAAATACCACAGAGCTGGCTGTGGTTTCCCTGCTGTGGGGAAATGATGTAAACTTTGTGGCAGTGAGTAAGAATCTCAGAATCTGTTGGCACTTGTGTTCTTGAATGTGTTTTATTTCCATATTTAGTAAAACTGGTTGAACAGCAAAAGTCCCGGCAGGACTGCAGCACCGCGCCCCGAGCAGAAAAAACGAAGTCAAGAGAAAAGGTGGAGATTCAACTTTCTGCTGATTGAATATCCTGCTGCAGACGTTTATTCTGTGTGGATTATTTAATCCTTTCCTCTTTTTAAGCTTTGTTTGTCCTGACTGAATTAAATAATGATGTTATCTCCTTTCCTTTAATCCCTTTTCCCCATCCTTAAACCTTTTTTGTTGAGTCAAACATTTTAATTCATGTTTTCCTTTATAATCCAATTAGGTAGAAAATTAGTCTCACTCTACTATAAATTAGTTTGGAGCTCATTTCTGTCTAAGCCTGACTGGATTGGACCGGTTCCTTTAAATGGATGAGGAGTAATTATTAAGTTATCCCCCCTAAGAGCCAAATATGTTTTGTTTTTTTTATTATCTGGAAATAAAAATGTAGTTTTGAGTTAAATTGGACTTTTTGTGGTTTTAAGTTGTTTTCCTGAAGCCTTTTGGGAAAATAAATTAGTTTTCTGGCTGGAGGATGCATTCAGGGAAGTCGCTGTGGGAATTGAACCTGTGACCTCTGTGCTACGATGTGCTTCGTCTGCCACCCTGCCAACAGGGAGAGAGGAAAACATGTGGGAAATGTTTTAAAATAGTCCCGGCTGGAAATAAAGTTGTGGTTTTGAATGTGAGCTTTGCTCATGTTGTTAGAATGCTGATTTTGGGCGGAGGAGGTGTTATTCCAGCGGCGGTGTGACCCAGGAGCCGCCAGGGAACGACGCGCTGAAAACTCGCTGGTCAGTGGAAACTGAGGGACACCAGATATTTCCCATAAATCACTGCGATTTCAGTCTGATGTGAACTGAGGCTGTTATCAGATGAAGGTTTTCAGTTTTTATCTCATCTTCTCCTGCACAGGCGAAAGAAGGTATTTGTTTTTGGTGGCCAGAGTCCGATTCATCATTTTTCCTCAAACTTGTTATTTAGACTCTCAGGAATAAAGATTTAAATCATAAAACAAGAAGACTCTCTGTGGGTTTTTCCCATGTTTAATGTTTCTGTGTTTGTTTTGCAGGTCCTGTATCTTCTACAGAGCCTGCATGGATATCCCCAGAGGGACGGAGCTGCTGGTCTGGTACAACGACTCCTACACGTCCTTCTTTGGTATCCCGCTACAGTGCATCGCTCAGGATGAAAACCGTAAGGAAACATCGACACTTTTACCTTTGTTCACCTGTTAAATATTCAGAAATACCTTTGATTAAGTCATGTAATGAGAAGGTTCTGGTCCAGCATGAAGCCTTAAACATCAGACTCACAGTGAATGCGCTGCGGCTGCGGCTGCGCTGCAGCGCCACCAAGAGCTTAAATCGCTCAAATAGCAGCGGCTCTGCATGGAGCCCCTGGATCTCAGGAGCCAAACAGGAAATGGCAAACATAAAGGGGGTGCTGGGGAATTTCAGAATAAAATCAGCCCACTAACCTACCCTGCCTTAAGTGGGAAAAATAAAAAAGCAGAACAGAAACAAGAGGAAATGGATTGGCTTTTCAGGGATAAAAAAAGATATTTATTCACATGGATAAAGACTTTTGCCCTAGAGCTCCCGGAAAGAGTGTGAACCCACATCAACTTATGTTCAGTGTTCATTATAAGTCACTTATTACACCACAGCCGCACCGTGGTCATTGTGAGCCCAGGGTAAGACTTCTGCTTCATACGCAGCACAACGGCTGCAGTTCCCTTTTTAAACAGTAGATGTCGCTGCACAGAAAATTGTACCTGAATTAACCCTTTGAGCCCGGTGGCCAGGGCCCAACTGACACCTGCATCTATTTATAGAAATGGCCACAGTCACATGGTGTTTCATCCACACACCTTTCAAATGGGGCTTTATAGTTTCAAAATATTTTTTTCACAAGTATTTTTTTGTTTTATAGCTGTGTAAACAAATAAAATTAGATCTAAAATTCCACCTGACATGTATGACTCTGCGGGAGTAATGCAGCAGCAGGTGTTCATTTTTAAGCCCCGCCCCCTAATGGCTGCCATCATTGGAAAGGCGGTCAGATGTCATTGTGCGACCATTGCAGGTGATGTAACCTGCATGCATTACATAAGCTGCTCTGTTATTCTTATTTTCTATTCAGTTTGTTGATATTATTGGTAAATTTCAATGATATAACGGCTAAATCTTACTTTTATGAGTGGAAAAATGCATTTTTGCATTTTTTGGCATTGTGGCAAAATCACATACTGTATCTGCCTAGCTCACTGTGGAACAAACATGCTTTAACTTATTCTGTCCAAATTTGCTTGAGTTATAGTCAAGATGTGCATGAATAAAGTCTGGGGGTTCATCCAGAGTTTCTAATGGGCTTTCATGTTGTTTTGCAGTGTTTATTTTGGAAAAAATTATAGCCATGCTAACATTTCTTTCATTTTTTCTTTGTTTAATCACTTATAAATCAGACATGGTGACATTAAGAAGAGTGGTTACAACTGAAAAATATTCCTCAATGCCTTTCTGTCATACAAATACGAACAATTGTATTTCGGATTTATAGTTTGGGAGCTGAAATTGACCGAATTTGCTACTAAGACCCTCTGGTTGTCATGACACGCGGACAGATGGACCCAGTATTCAAGCAGAGACAGTCAGTAGGAAAGATCAAAAAGTTTATTAAAATAAAACAAAAACTGAAGTGGAGCTGTGGCTCGCGGACACTGCAGGAGGAGCGGGGCACCGCCCAATCTCAGACACTCTAAGGGAGAAACACAGGTAAGTGACCACGATCATCTGAAGGAAGATGATGTTCTCAGTGAGTCACTTACCTTGTTTAGCTTTCTTTCTTTCTTTCTTTCTTTCTTTCTTTCTTTCTTTCTTTCTTTCTTTCTTTCTTTCTTTCTTTCTTTCTTTCTTTCTTTCTTTCTTTCTTTCTTTCTTTCTTTCTTTCCTTTCTTCTTTCTTTCTGTCTTTCCTTTCTTTCTTTCTCTTTCTTTCTTTCTTTCTTTCTTTCCTTTCTTTCTTTCCTTTCTTCTTTCTTTCTGTCTTTCCTTTCTTTCTTTCTTTCTTTCTTTCTTTCTTCCTTCCTTCCTTCCTTCCTTCCTTCCTTCCTTCCTTCCTTCCTTCCTTCCTTCCTTTCTTTCTTTCTTTCTTCCTTCCTTCCTTCCTTCCTTCCTTCCTTCCTTCCTTCCTTCCTTCCTTCCTTCCTTTCTTTCTTTCTTTCTTTCTTTCTTTCTTTCTTTCTTCCTTCCTTCCTTCCTTCCTTCCTTCCTTCCTTCCTTTCTTTCTTTCTTTCTTTCTTTCTTTCTTTCTTTCTTTCTTTCTTTCTTCTGGTTTTCGTCTGCCTCTCCCCCAGTTTTCTGCTCAGTCAGTTTATTTATACTCATCTCATTCAAACATGTTTTCTCGTTCATCTCGCAGAATAACTCCCTGCAGGCAGAAAACAAACTTTGCTTTTTTTTTTCCTTCTATAATTATTTCGAAAGAAAAACTCCAACGGAAAAAGGAGCCAAAGAAGGTTTTAATTTGTGGAATCTAAACTGAAATGAATTGAATTAGGGACTCATCTTTTACAGAGTCCTGTTGAAATGAGATCGTGCTGATTGCAAATTACAGCCGTTTGGCCACAAGCTGCTTCGTGTTACAGACAGAACAAGTCTTTTACATGACATTGTTCACCATGACAGGACCGTGGCATCCTCTGTAAACATAATCAAGGGCACACAAACAAACATCAGATAATCCTTCGCTTCAAGGACCCATGTTCCTTCTCCACTACCAATTTAGGACAAGAAGAAAAATTCCTGTGATGACTTTAAGGAAAAAATGCTAACTGTTTTATTTTCATTAGTGGTTTGAAGGAGGAAATTCCCACTGGTCCTTTTCCCATTAATACCATCCTGAGGTTTGGTTCATCGTATCTCCTTCTATCTTTATAAATATTTTATCAGAACACCGTCCGGTTCTCCAGCCGTAACATTCAGACCTATCTTCTGTCTGACTTCATCGCTTTCTCACATCTGTACGGACGTTCAGTTTGCTTCACAAAGTTTTCTGTCGCTGTGTTTTAAGAATATCTCCTAATTACATGATTAAATTTAGGGGCGGATTTAGGAAATTTGGGGCCCTGGGCTAAGACAGGCAGGGGGCCCTCTGAATATAGAAGGCAACACATAAAACAGCCCCATTCTCCAGATAGAGAAATGTTAATAGAATAGACATCCATTATCTGTTCTAGGTTGTGTTCCTCTCTTCTTGTCCCTTTTCTTCTTGTTTTCCTCTCTATGTTTTGTACTCAGCTGACTTTTCATGCTGTCTCTAAAGGAATGAAAGATTTTTTCCAAGCACTAAGCTCACTTAGCTGATTGCTCCTTCCTGTGTTTCCAAAAAGGCCAAAGTAAATAACCCAGTCCTTCTTTTCACTGTAGACAAGCCATGATCTGCTTATCTGTTCTCCATTTTTCATTTGGATGAAATAATAGCTGCATGAATCATGACAGCAGACAAGATAGAGGAGAGCAGGAGGCGGGGTTACCAATCTACTCGCTCTGGAGAGCAGAGTTCGCTGCTTTTAGATGTTGTCTCCAAAGTCTCCAGTAGCAGAAAAAAGTCACTAGATTTGGCGCTAGGAGCTTTTTAGAAATCAAAGTGCTAGAGGGGTCTGAAAAGTGGCTAAATATAGCGACTAAAGCGCTAAGTTGGCAACACTGCTCTTTGCATGGTTTGTTTTCAAATGGTTTGCTGCTGTCTGTTTGGACCTTTCTGAACATGTGCAGCAAATGGACTGATCCAATATGGTGGACGCTGAAGGGGGGGGGGCTGAGACACACTTAATATTATCAGCGTTCTGATGGCATTTTAGCAAAAAGATTTTCATCAAAAACACAATTATTGTGCATAAATAAGGAATAGTTGTATTAACCATACATGTAAGCAGAGTTTTATGAGGCCCCCAGGAACTGTTGGAGCTTGGCCTGTTTTCCAGTGTAGTCCTGTTTCTCTGACTGTGACTAACTGGATGTGCTCTCTTCATCCTCTGACATGGGAGCTGGCTTAATCTTGTGCTGGCCACCTCAGTCTCCTGAGGAAAAATTAAGTTTCAATTCAATTCAATTCAATTTATTTCTATAGCGCCAATTCACATCATGTCATCTCAAGGCACTTTCCAGTTCACCAGATCATCCAGTCAGATTGATTCAAAGTTTTCTATCTTAGGAAAACCAGCTGATTGCATCGACTCATTGACTCTTCAGCAATCCCTCACACTAAGCATGCTTGTAGCGACAGTGGAGAGGAAAAACTCCCTTTGAACAGGAAGAAACCTCCAGCAGAACCAGGCTCAGTGTGAGCGGCCATCTGCTGAGGCCCACTGGGGTTCAAGGAGACAGAAGCAGACATAGAAAAAGAAGCATAGATACAAAAGGCAACTGTCAACCAGCTCCACAGGCGGCCCCGTCCTGGAAAAGAGTAAATGAACCAAACTGAGCTTCCTCAGGTGTGCTGCTGAGGTTTCCCCTTATGACTGATGATCCAGAGCAGAAAACTGAGAAAAATCCTGCTTTAATGAGCAGAGCTAATCTGCTGTAATTTGGGATTTAGCATTTCTAACTCAGTCAGAAATCAGATTATTTTTAACCGCTACAGAGAGCCGATCAATTATTCTGAGGTTTCTAATTGGTTCTGTGACTGTGTTTGTTTCACAGACATGATTTTCTGTCTTTTTAGGAAGAAATCAACCTGTTTGCGTGTGGGTCTAAATACCGAGTCCTCCGCTGTTTGGACACTGATGCCTTTGCTGTCGGAGTTTGAGACGTGTACGACGTAAACAAGTTAAAACAACTCAAAAACCGACATGATTCAACTGTCAACGGTTCCGAGTTTAGGCAGATTTTAAATCATTTCCATCCATTTCCATTTCCTTAAAAGAAGAAAATAAAAAACAAAGAAATTAAACGCTCTGATTCAGCCTGCAGGGAACACAGTAAATTCATTAGATGACATGTTTTTTACCAAATGAGAGCCAGAAACTGTTGTCTGAATTAAAGAAACGTTGCTACCGACTGTCTTTAGCTTTTGCCTTGTTTCTGGGTTACATCTTTACCTGCCGTTTGCCGAATCGTTCATGATTGTGACTCTAGGATGCGAAACTAGACGCACAAAAACAGCAAAGCGTTTTCCTCAGGTTATGTTTAACTT